TGCCTAAGCAACAAGAAAACGAAAAAAAAAAACAAATAAAACAAGAAGAAAAAGGCAGAAAAAAAACAATCTATAAAAGCACTATTATAGCCGGTGCCAGGCACAAGTTGTAAAAATTATATACTAAATTTAAAAATTTTGTATATCTCTATTGTAAAGCTAAGCCTTATTGTTAAATTTTCTTCCGACTTTACTATCCAGTTCAGGTCGGTTTGTTAACCAAAGCGCCGATTGATTCGTCACGTGGTGTAGGTCATTATTGCTAAAACAATCCCGTGTTTATGTCCTACTTCGTCCATCTGAAAATAGAAGGTGTAAACAATGCCGATATTTTGGAGGGGGTAAGCTGAAATGCCCACTTTTTGTCGATATTTTTGTGAAAGCGGCAGAAAGGTGGAGTAAAGAGAAAAAAACCCACTTGTATACAAAATAAAAGAGTATAAATTTCTTCTACTAGGATCAAATAAAGCCACACCGGAACTTGCACACTACTAAGTTTTCTCGGTAAGTGATAAATTCTGAGCTTGTCGGCAAATAGCATATGAGAACTATCTCTAAACGACAAGTGCTGTGCCTGTCGCTACAGTAAGTGAAAAACTCTGAAAAAATCAGCAAGATAGTATATGAGAACTATCTTTAAACAATAGTTGCTGTCCTAAGATCCCTTTTTGCATGTCTTATCATGTCTAGTATAGCTGTTTATATTTTTTCTTAGTAAAAGATTTTTGGAAATTTTTGGTACAAATGATCATCAGAAAGAGTTGAATTGTCTAGATTATATATATTTATTCCCGTGCGTTATTGCACAGGTTTTCAGCTAGTAAAATATAATATAAAATTTGTACTACACTACTTTTATGCTACTCTAAACTAATTGTTTTATAACTATAGCTATAACTATAAGATCAAATATGTTAAACCAATTTTTTTTATAAAACAAAACTTTTTAATTGTTAGAGTTGGAAAATTAGCATAGTTTCAAAATTTAGCAAGAAAATTTTTTTTTTAAAATATAAAAAATGATTTCAAAATCAAATTTTGAGTTATTACTGATTTTTAAAAAATAGGGTTTGACATTATATATATATACCTGATCTTAAAATTTAATTGACTTTTTTAGATTACGAATTTATAATTAAAGAAATTAAAATTTTTTTCTTAATTTATTTTTTAATTTTAACATAAATACTGAATAAATACAAAAAGTTCCACGTATACGTAATAAATTGCTAAAAAAAATGGATTGTACGTGAGATGATCTATTTTTTGGTACTAGTTTTAAATCGTTAAATTTACTAGGTATATTATTACAACATCTAGATTTGATTACTAACCCAGGGAATTTAATACGATAATCATTACATCATTATGACACAAAATGCATATGGCTAACACTATAAACGCCAATGCATTTAAATTTTGGAGGTTACGACATTGCAGTTTCGGCTCATGTTGCGGACTGCCGAATATTTTTGGACAAAGTCACAATTAATTATTACGTCATGTATAGGCTAAACATTAAATTTTATTTTGTACCAAAATTGAAAAATATATATATATTTTTTTTCATCACCACAATAAATTATATGCAAAATTGCAAATACAGCTAATAATTAAATCAAGCCACATTTTTTTCTTTCAATTATAAAGTTGTTATTCTCTGACAGAAAAAATAAGGACTAGTTTTAATATTTCCTAACGTTGTGATTAATTTTGATTAATTATTGAATCGTCCTTTCTCTTTTTTTTTCCTCTCTATTAATGTAAAATCAACTATTATTAATTTGATGTAAAGAAAATGTACAAGTGGGATAAGAGAAGTGAGGGTAATGTAACAGATAAGAATTTTAAAGATATAGCTACAAAAATTTTGAGCTCATAAGGCTTATTAGGGAAGACAAAGAGCATACAAAAATGATGACATAATTATGTAAAGATGTTAAAGAAAGTAGATGAATGCTTTACAAGACTGTAAAGATGCCAATCATACAACGAAAATAAAAAATAAAATTTAATAAAGTTCGAGCAATCACCTGATTTTTCAAGTGGCGTATTCCAATCCAATTAAATACTCGCTACCCCAAGGCATACCCCACCCTTTAACTCCGATTTTTTTCCAACAAACTCGTGGAATACCGATATCAGCTAAAAATAGTTCACCGGTAACAGCACGGGATTTACACCCACTTTTAGGCGCACCAAGACACAACGTCCATTTGGGATGAATATAATGAACGGGATTGCTAGGATTGCCTTAATAATATGTCGTTAAATCTAAAGTTATTTATATATTAATTTAATATGCAGTATACAAAGTTTTTTCTAGTTACCTGTATTTCCATTCACACCACTTGGCATATCTAAACTTAGAACAGGCGCTTTATTAACGTTAGCCCAATCAATCAATTCGCATATCAAGTGTTTTTCATATTCATCAACTATATCTCTTAAAGTGAATTGATAGCCTAGTAGGGCGTCAACAATAAGATCAACAGGGTTGGTGAATTGTTGTGGCAGTTCTAGATAATTTCACTGATGATTAGTGATTTTGTTAACTAAATGTTTAGATATTGTTTTTACTCACCTGACACAGTTTTAACAGATCTTCCACCAGTTGGATGTAGAATCTTTTGTTGATAGGCAACACTCTATAAATACATTGTAAAATACATTGGTTAGGAAAAATTTTTTTTTTTTTTTTGAATTGACAAAATCAACAATGCTTAAAATTATTTTACTTTGAGTAATTCTTTATCTTTTCCGACAATACATGCAATCACATGGCACCCATGATTTGCCAAATGCCGGGCTGTAGCAAGACCATATGCACCAGTTTTATTATTACCGGCAAGTATCACAACTAATGGAGCAGCATTATGGTTATGTGGTTGTATGCGCCGTGAACCACCTTTTTGTCAAAATAATTATAATGTTTAATAAGTTAATCTCGCAAATGAAGTAAATTAACATTCAAAAAGATGCGGATTACTTACCGAGTGCCTGTAGGCACATCATAGAAGCTCCCCTACCGGCATTTTCAATCATTTGATCTTCATTCGGACCAGTTTCCGTCGCTTGATATTTTAAATAAAAAGAACATATAATTAATATCAATTGAAGTATTTATATAATGATATTGTATCGTAGATATTAAAGATATTATACTCACCAGCAATCCTTTCAACTTCAACCATTTGGACAGGTTGAACAGTAGGACATGAAACACCAGTTAATGTCCTTATTTTAACTTTCCTATGATCGCCAACGCCATTAGCTTTTTTCTTCTTTTTCCAAGAACCATCGGAGTCAACTTCACCATCATTAGCAGCTTCGTCTTCTTCATCAGTGTGATAAAATTTTGATTTTCGTGAAGAAGTTTCTAAAACGTTCTCATGAGATGCTAGCTTGGGTAACGTAGCCTGATTTAATTGAGAGCCACCATTACGACCATTTGTACGAAAATTTGGATTACGATTGATATTGACAAGAAGATTTTCTGGCGCTGTAGAGTCCAGTTCCTAGAATAGAACAAAAAAATTTAATATATTAAAATATCACCAAAATTGAATTGATATTTTTTTAAGACATTATTAAAGCTTACTCTAATTTCTGCAAACACTTTTTCTTTATCGAATAAGTCTAAGTTGCCTTGAAAATCAAAGTCTTTCGATTTAAAATCGTTAACATCACCTCCAGCCCACTCATGAGTTTGTCTACGGCCGCGTCTGGACCGTCTTGCTGTAAAGAATTTGGTAAAATAAATGTTAATAAACAAATAAATAAGCAATAATGTATAAATCAATATTAGTTTTACCAGGAGATTGAGGCATTCGTGAACTTTGATAATGTCCGTTTGTATTATGATTCTTAAATAGAAAGACGATAAAGTAAATAAATGGTTGATAATTTTAAGGTTTGGTACAAAATCCCGAAAAATTATAGTTAATGCCCACCAGTCTTTCGGGGTTACAACCTTAATAATGCAATTCGTTGGGATTTCATACCAAACAGTTAATTAAATATTCATATCAAATTTTAAATTATTACCTTTCTCCTTCTTGTTGCCTTTTTTTGATCGTATGTCAAACTTCCAGACTCGGCACCGCTCGATTCACCACCATTGTGATGATTACCGTTAGAAGTTTTCATAAGTTCCTCTTCTTCATCACCTTTAGAATCACTATCTATTGTTGAGCCCGTTTGAGTTGTTTTTGAGGGTGTTCGTGAGCCAGATAAAGTTTGTTGAGAATGAATTGGCTATGAACATACACCAAAAAAGGGCAATTAACGTCGGAACCCCAGTCAATAAAAATAAACAAATTAAGTTATTAAGTACCAGATCTAGTTAAAATAAAACTCATATAAAATATGTTTTTTTCTAAATTTCTTGGATAATGTAATGCAAATTATTCATTATTAAAAAAAGTATAGAATACATACGACGTACGGTGGAGAAGTTCTGAAGTAACATTTACATCGTAATTCATTGTAATTAGTAAATATAGGAAACAGCATACATACATATATACATATATATTTATTTAATTGCGAACTCAAAGAAATATTTAAAACTACCTTAATAATCCAAATGAATTTACTGGAGAAATCGAAGAGTGTTGAGGTATATACTAATGACAATAATAATAATAATAATAATAATAATAATAAAATTGATCTTAATAAATAATTGACTTTTTTTGCTATCATGTAGAATTCCTTAAGTACAGTGTTGTCACATCACTATGTCCAAATATTTTTAATTGGAATTGGACATATGCCTAATTGGAATTGGGCATATGCCCAATAAAGTCCAATAAAAATTTTATTATGTCCAATTGGTCCAATGGTCCAATTGCCAACACTGCTTAAGTAACTTAAGTAAATATCATTTTTTTTTGAACCAGTAGAATAAAAATGAACCAACCGAAATAATTGCTGGATCTGTAAAAGGCGACCTCGATAACAGGTTAGAGGAGTGCAGTTGGTTTTGAATCGTTTCATATTTCGTAGCATTATTTGGAGTAGAGATGGAGTTTTGTGAAGGTAGTTTAGCAGTTTCTAGATTTATTGCATTATTATAAGGAGTTTGTATTTGTCGCTGTTGAGAGGAGATATTCGACTGATTTAATGGGTTCGAAGCAAGTATTTGAAGATCTTTAATATCTGTGCCAGCTACTCCATATATAGCGAGTTGTTGGGTACGACCGTTGTTGAAAAGTTTTACTGTTGTTTAATTTAAATTCAAAGTGTTTATAGAGAATGTATAAGAAATTATGACAACATTCTGGAAAAAGCGACTTAATATGATACAAACCGTTTTTAAGAGTTAACAGTTGTGTGTGAGAATCGATATGAGATACGGTTCCTTCCAACGAGGAGCCATTACTAAGTTCAACCTGCACACTCAAGCCAATGAAAGCTTCTGCCATAACACGACTGAGTTATTCTTGCAAAGATTTCAACTGTATTTATTTACGATAATTTAAATAAAGATAGCCAAATTGAAATGAAAGCGAGTGCTAATGGTTTTTTTTTTTTCCTATAAACCTTTAGAGGGTAGAAAGGTAGAAAGATTTTTATACTTTATATGGATCGATTTACTTTATACGTGGCCATTTTATTGGCTTAATAAAAGATTTAAAAATACATGTGTTGGTGTAGATTCTACTGTACCTCAGTACCACACACAAAACCACACATATACAATCTCACATGATAAAACCTCAATATAACAATTCTGAAACGATGTATAATATATTGAAATAAATGAAGCTTCTCTACTAATTTCGGTATTAATAGACTATAACTTGTTGCCTCTAAATCGATTTCGCATGTCCAGCTACAAAATTGCCAAAAAAAACGTTAATACCAAGACCAATAGTGATGATAATAATAATGCTATACTAATTTGAAAATAAAATTTACCAATCCTCTCTTACATTCAAAGAAACTTCTTCGAATGCTTTGGCATTCTTTGGGTACATCTATAGCATTTTCGAATTGTAAACATTCTAATTTGTCATAAAAAAAATATTTTTATCGAATTTTGTATAGTATTTTTCAACACAAAACGAAAAAAGCGAATTCTCTTTTAACCTCTATCCACAAGTAGTTATTATAAAGAGAGTAAAAACAAATAGGTAAATTTTGACCCTTCAATTATCACCCCACCTTTAACAGTGTGGCGTTTCACTACTACGCAGTCAGATTTGAGCAAGCAATCGATGAGTTCCTTACGAATTTCTTTGCAAGAAGGCATATTTGATTCATTCACAAACAAAAGTCAGATATGATAATCTATGCCGCCCTTTTTATAATTTTTTAATCTCAGTGTAATAGTATCACGAGACTCCTCCATATCCGCTCAACGCATGGCATTTCCACAATTTCCATAATAAAAAAAATTACGCATTGATGCATTATTGTGTCTTGATAAAGGATTTTTTGGGTATAAATAGTTCCGTGAATCCGTGTTGAACAATACCAAACGTTTGAAATTCAATATTACGATGGTAATCGTCTAGTAAAGAGAGAGAAGTATTATTATGCAAGGCATTAATATTTTAATTTCCACTTTTTGTAGGAGTTGTTATTTGGTCGCAAAAAGACGCCAGCCGAGTTACTACGGCAACATCAACGTGCACTTCAAAAAGCACAACGTGAAATGGATCGTGAAAAGGCAAAATTGGATATTGCTGAAAAGAAATTAATAGCCGATATAAAAAAGTCCGCTAAAGCAAATCAAATGGTATGTGGCTTCTACATACTTTTAGTATATGCATAAGCACTTAGTATTACAACAATCGATGCTTCAACACTTAATTTATATTCGTCAGTATATGAATACCTTACAGAAATTTGCTTATTATAATAAGGCTTATTCTTTTGGTTCTATGTTAATTTGGGTCTGATAGAGTGCATGCAAAATTATGGCTAAAGATCTTGTCAGAACTCGTCGTTACTCTCAAAAATTCCAAGCAATGAAAACACAACTTCAAGCTGTTTCATTACGAATTCAGGTAAAGATTCTATTACTTTTTTCAAACCTTTATCTAATTGTTTTTCAAGTTTTAATATGAATTATACCTAAAAAAAATTATTATTTTTTTTTTTAGACTCTTCGATCAAATCAACAAATGTCTGAAGCTATGAAAGGAGCAACAAAAGTAATGCAATTAATAATTTATATTATAAATTTACTTAGATTAATTATTCAATTGATTTTTAGGCTATGAAATCAATGAATCGACAAATGAATTTGCCAGCAATGCAAAAAATCATGATGGAATTCGAAAAAGAATCTGAAATAATGGACATGAAAGAGGAAATGATGAACGATGTCATTGATGACACTATGGCAGAGGAGGAAGATGAGGAAGAAAGTGACGTAATCGTGAATCAAGTCTTGGATGAGATTGGGATCTCTCTGGATCAGTCGGTATGGTTATATCCACATTTTCATGACTCAGTTTTATTTAATAGCCTTATTTATAACAGTCATTTGATGTCATTCCAAATTTTAGCTTGTTGATACACCTAGTTCAATTGAGAGAGAGACCACCAAAGAAAAGGTTCCGCAAATTATAAATATGGAATCAAATGATGATGCAGCTTTGCAAGCTAGACTTGATAATTTGCGAAGAGAATAGTACCAACTAATTCCGTTAACTAGAATTTGGTGCTCCACTGCACTTCCAGATTTTTCCAATATTTCAATAGTTTCAATAAAAAATTTCACAGGAAAAATAATCTGATTAAAATTGAATATAATGCTAATGCATATATATATAGTTAATATAAGAGTTATAAGAGTAGAATGTATTATTTTTTATATATATTGATAACTTTTTTTTGTGTTTTATACATATTAAGAAATTTTTATTTATTATTAAATAACCTATTTTTGAATTTTCAAGTCGTATAGTTTTTTTTGATTTGGGTGTGATACTACATAATTGATCACTAGAATTTTATAGTTTGAATTCTTTCCAATTAACTTCCCATATGGGGTCTTTGCCTTGAAAATGACCTTACGGTACATGATACCGTAAGGTCATTTTCAAGGCAAAGACACCGTATGTATTTAAGATTAATTTTACTTGATTAACTACTGTAGAATCCAAATTAAGTATTTCACCCATTATAAAGCCCAGGAATTGTGTTTTCGTTTATCGACTAGAATTTCATAGCCTAAAATAGCCGGGAACTATTTATATTCTTCAATTAGCTAGAATTATAAACGAGTTAAATATGGTAAAATCATCTAAACTATAACAGTAAATATTTGAAATTTCGCAAAAATGAAAGCGCAGCTTAATTGTTCTGACTAAGGCCTACAAAATTATGCTTTTTTTTTTTTTTTTTTTTTTTTTTTTTTAAGAAATTTCACTTATTTTTCAAGAAGATACAATGTAATAAGAATTTTCAAGGACTAATAATCGGCAAGATACTATTTGATTGGTTGTTTCCATTGTAATCTCGAAATTTTAATTACTAAGTGGCGCATATTTGATGCGACTAGGGTTGCAATAGAGCTCAATTGAGCCCAAAGGAGAAAATGAAACTCTGAATGGAGACAATGGATACTAGTTTTTTGAGTTCTATTCATATAACTATTGAGTGCTATCGCTTCATTGCCTAGATGATTTGTATTATAAAACGATCTGTAAACCAGTGAAATGTATACAAAAAATTATGTAAAAAATAAGAATCCCAATTAAATGTATACTCAAATTAAAGATGCAGACATTAGAACATGAAATAACATACGGCATAGCCATATGTGTAGGGAAAGTGGCACAGATGTCACAGGCATGCCAATAGTGGCATGCCATAGGCATGCCAAATACTCAATAAGGCATGCCGTTTATATGTTATTTCGAAATATTCTAAGAATACGTAGGTTATGAAAAAGGTTGAGATTATAGATGCTGGTGAAATGGGTTAATTTCACCAGGTGAAATGGAGAAATAGTTTCACCAGAATTACACCAAAATAAAATTTTGGTAAAATGGTGAAATGGTGAATTGGTGTAATTGGTGAATTGGTGAATTGGTGTAATTGGTGAATTGGTGTAATTGGTGAAATGGTGAAATAGTAAATTGGTAAATTGGTAAAATGATAAATTGGTAAATTAGCACTCTTGATTTTATTTATTTCAACTAGATATGTTTATGTAGATAAACCTACATATTACCATTGTGGTAAATATGCAGAGTTCATAAAATTCTTATGGCAAAAAAAGCTCTCACTTTTTAATTAGTTATGTTTAGATATTCTCAGATACCTGTGGATCTTTTTTAAATACAGTATTTTGGATAAAGGTTATTATTTATAAGACATATGGTATCCAGATATGTATTATACTATACAAATATACAGATAAACAGTTAACAGTTCTGACCTCTAAATATATTTGTAAAAACATAAAATAAAAAAACTTCAACAAAAATGAAGGCTGAAATAATTTCAAATTCTGCCACTTTTACGATTTCACAATTTCACCATTCCACCATCTTACCAATTCACCAATTCACTATTTTACTAATTCATCAATTCACCATCTTACCAATTACACCAATTTACCAGCTACACCAATTCACCAGTTATACCAGTTAGAGGTTGGAACCAGTTTTAAATATTCGAGTTTATCACTTCAAAATTCGAGTTTATTACTTCAAAATTCAAGTTTATCACATCAATTATTAATTACTCATGTGATAAACTCGAATTTTGGAGTGATAAACTTGAATTTTGATGTGATAAACTCAAATATTTAAAACCGGTTCCAACCTCTAATACCAGTTACACCATTACCGAGTAATAAATGGTGAAATAGTGAAATCATTTCACTACTCTGATCTAATTTTACCAGCATCTATAGTTGAGATCAAGATTCTGAAATATTCTAAATGTTCTAAAAGATTTCGATGATAACTAACCAATCTAAATTAAGTATATTAATTATATAATATAATAGCAAGCCTTTTAGTGATGGTATACCCATTTGGCATGCCAAATTTTTTTTTGCCATGCCATTTTCCCTACATATGTGAGTAGCTATCTAATTTTTATATGCTGCAAGAGGTAGCTACCCTTAACTTGAGAAATAATTGTATTTTTAAAAACTTAAAAAATCTGTTTTTATATTATAAATCACATAATATAAAACCATCTAGTTTTGTTATTTTAAAATTTAATTTTTTTTTATTTATTTTTTATTTATTTTTTTGAATAATTAAATTTTTAATTTTTTCATATATATTATTAATTTATAAATAAAAATCTCAAAAGACTTGGAGCCAGTATTAGACTAGACAATTAGACATGGACATTGGATCACACTTGTTCAGTTTAGTCCAATTCATTGGACCAAAAAGTATTGGACAATAATATATAACTCAACATATAATCATTATTGGATATATTGAACTGGATATATGTCCAAGTTCAATATCTAGTCCAGTTTAATAGCATAAAAATAGTTGGACATATGTCTAGTGCCAACGCTGCTTGAAGCTTTTTTTTGAAAATTTAAGCACAATCTCTTTTGCAGTAAATTAGAGTATAATAATAAAAAAATAGAATACAATTATAAAGAAATAGAATCTGCTAATAAGAAAATGGCTAAAAACTTATTCAATTAAAAAAAAAAATCAAGTCAATACTAATAAATTTTTTTTTTTTAAAAAATTGACGGTTATGTCGCATACTCTGCTTTATTAATGTTATTTTACTAATTTGAGAATTAGTGAGTTACACTATGCCTTATAGCAAAAACTGGAATGTGGCTCACTTGGTTATTTTGTGTAACTAAATACTAACTTAGTACCTATGTGCAACCTGCCAATGATAAGTTCAAGCTTCCTAGTTTGGGTTAATCTACCATAGAAAGGCCCACCTCGAATCACTGCCCTGGTTCATTAGCCCGTCATAACTACCTTCTTTTCCAACCTTCTTCTCCTAGCCTTCTAGTTAAAAAAACTCTACTACAAGAACAACGAGAGATTTATGAAATTAAAGGGAAAACTAAAAAGGATAAAATCTAAATTAAATGAAAAAAAAACAATACATCAAAAAAAAAAATAAAGAAAAGGAGAAAAAGGCTGCAAAAAAGATGGCCATGACGACACTATTTTTGCCTGTGCTAGGCTATATAAATTATATAGGTTGTATAGAAAAAAGAATTTTACTCTAACACTATGTGTAATAAGAAAAGAGAAAAGAAAAAAAAACATCTAACATCTAGAAATTTCTACACATGATTCTCCGATTCTTTATAGACTATCATTGTCTAATTAAGAAGCAGTACCTGAGTCAGCTCGTAGCAGGTTCTATTTTAGTAGACACATCCTAATTTGAAAGCAATAAAACTGCTGATCTTTTGAAGGGGTATGCTGGTTTTCCCACTTTTTGTCCAAAATTTCTAAAAAAAATTCCAAAATAGCGAAAATATAGTAGAAGGACTTTGGTTGTAAGTACTTTCAAAAATTCTAATGAGAGAGGGTTAGGGTCCTATAGCCTAGTGGTCTAGGCGCCTAACCCTCCACAGACGAGGTCAACGGTTTGATTACAGCTAGTAGTAATTAATTTAATTAATTATCTCTGTAACCTACAGGAGCTTTCGAATGCGAAACCCTGTGATGATAAGACTATGTAAAGTACTTATTTGGCCTATAAAGAATTCTTGGAAGGAGTCCCGA